TTTGCATATTTGGAAAGGGCCATGTTTCTTCGGGTGGAGTTTGGGATTTGCCCCGGGCCTTGCTCAGGCTGGCTCCTGCTTAGTTGGGCTTTCAGGATTCCTGTCTTCCATCGGAAATCTCCTGATTCGTAGGAGTTGAATTCAGAGGTCTCCATTAGGGGTCTATCTCCCGCTCTTTCATTGTTGAGAAGCCGAGATAGCATTTCCCGTACTTGCTTTGCCATTTTGTTGACAAGGAGCCTGGAAAGAATGGGGGAGTACAGCTAGAGGGCGTCTTCCACATGGCAAAAGTTGGGGCCAACTTTAAATTGAGTGTCTTTTGCGGGTCGATGTGACTGACCCTGTTTAAACTTAGTGGTGCGCAGTAGCGAATGGACCCAGGGATTCCTTAGCAAGCCACCAGTTGGACGGTTTATAAGGGTCGTCCCCTGCCTATCGAACCAGCAAGTAAACCTCCAGCTCTCCGCATTTTCTGGATGCCCTCACCTCACCCGGCCTTCCACCAGAGCCTTGACCGGCCAGGTGTGCTGCGAGCTGCCCATTGAAGGGACCTGCCGGCATGTGAACAGACGACATGGGAAAATGGGCTGTCTCCCCTCCCCGTCCCTTTCAAAAAATGGGTTGTCCCCCCATGTCCTCCGTAGAAAACCCAATCTTGTTGCTCAGTTCCTCATGTGTCTTGCACTCGCCTGCGCGTGTGCGGGAAGGCGCGCTCGAACGGGATTGACTGTCTCTAGGACTGTTACAGACGGCTGGTTTGCTAGGCGGGTGTTCCTTTCGAATTCATCCAAAAGAGCCATGCTCCAGATGCGCGGCGACCAGGAAGCATGATGAGGGATTCAGTTGACCATAGCCATGTCTCTCTCTCTCTCTCCAGGCTACCGTGGCCGTAGCTGATTTGCCTACAGCATGGGAGTTAGCCCTGTGATACTGGAAGGGGCTCCTAACGAATCCGGGAGGTCAAAAGAGGACATCACAGTAGGAGAAAATGACCCCTCTCATTCCCAGCCCTGAAAGGCAGCGCAGAGCTTGCCTTTGAACCTGTGGACCTTGCTCCTCAAGTTTTAGAGGAAGCTCCGGGAAGACCACTCCAGATGGGGTCAACGGGAAGGGGTCGGTCCATTTCCCAAAAGGAGCTTCCTTTGTCTTCACTGGGTTCCATGTTCGTCTTTGGTGTACATCTGTCATTTCCAAAACTTGGTGGTTCCCAGCCATCCCCTTAGCTTCTTAGACTTCTAGTATTTAGTGAGGATTTCCATTGAACCCACTAACAGTTAAGCTTTTAGCGGGGGATCTGAGGACAGCCCAGAAAAGATGAGATTCGGAGACTCCAGATTTCAACAGGGACGGTATATTTTTGTTTGCGAAGACGCCTGGCTCGAGGGTCGCCGATCAGAGCCAAACCACTTCGGGTAGATGAGGGTTAGACTTGCAACTTCCAAATGGGTCTTTCTTTTTTGGGAGGACCCACAAAAATCGTGGTTGTCCTTCTTTTTTTTGCCCACCCCAAAACGGGGAACCTTGAAAATATACAACCCATAGTGCTGGCGCGGATATCACGCAACCGCCCTTTTGATTCATTCTTTATCCATGGGTGTTGGGCAGACTCACAGAAAAATACCAAGTTCTTGAGTATGACCCTCAAGGACTTTTTGTGTGGTTTTTCTCTACTCGAACTTAGACAAACTAAACATTGATCCGCCCAACCCTTGGTTTGAACTGTTCAGACTCTCAACTGAATGTCCGCGTAGCTCATGATGGTCCTTGGCAGAAAGATGACTAACGTCAAAAGCAGACACCCCGGAAATGCAATGTGCGTTGGTGTGTGCTCAGTGTTGCTTTCCTTCCAAAACCATCCAAAAGGGCATCTCCAAGTGGAACCAGCAGTTCGGCCTGGAATCTTCTGAGTTTCCCCGTGTCCCTTGTTCTGCTCTCGTCGAATACCCATTAAACCGATCCCATGCCATCCGACGCTCCGACGCGGACGTACCCATGCCAGGACCGTCCAGGGTGCAGGCACCTGGGCCTTTGTGAAGGCCGCAAGATGGATTCGCGTGGATTCGCGTCTTGTCCTCTTTTGTTGTTTGTCTAAGGCACCTGGACCCGGAAAAGCTAAGCATAAAAATTGGAAAGTCACCCCAAGAACCTGATTTTTTCAGGGTAGTGTGAGGGTTCCGGTTCCGGGTAGTGTGTGCTTTTTGGTCAGGCTATCCCCAGTTGGTGGTTTGCAGCCCGGTGTCTAACGATTAACCAATTGAGAGGGTGTGACTCCGCTTACGTCAAAACGAGCTGTTCATGACCAAGTTGGGGCCCCAATACAAAAGAGAGCATGAACAACCGTCATCTTTCAATCTTAATGGTGGACACCCGCAAAATGGTTCCCAACAGAAGCTATTCCCTGCCCCGGGCCCAGCTCCGAACCTGATAAGGCACTTGCAAACATCTGGCCCCTACTGTGGATGGACAGAATCCTGCACCACTTTGAAACCATGCGAAACCAGTGTTTATTGGTATTTACAGAAGGATCTCATCATTCCGGGCTTCTTTTATACTGTGGTGCACACCCACAGTATCATGACTTTTGTTTGGTCTTTTCCAGGCCCCTACATGGCTATGTGGCTGTGGGTCAAAACCAATGGTGCCATTTTTGGGTAGGTGCAGCACCTATTTTAGCACCTATTTTAGTGGGGATTGGGATGTTTACTGGGGGTACGATTTGGATTTTGACCCATGGACATGTGTCAAAATAGCACAAAACGCAGCTTACCCCTGAGTGCTTTGGATTGGTGGTTTGGTAGGGGGTTTCCCATTTGCACACAAGAACCAGGGGCTGAAATCCGAATCCAGTTCCCAGGTGCCCTTTTGACACCAATCGGAAACACATTCACAGCCAAGGCATTGGGGTTGATACCTCTCAATACGAATCAAGGATAGTGAGTTGAAGGGAATGATCACTGATCCACACCAGAAGCCCCGTGCCTCTCGAATACGGGCTTGTTCATATTTTTGTCCGAACTGTTTCAGGATGCGTCGGAAAGCGTTTTGAGCGGTGCGGGTGTGGATTGATCTTCCGCAGCTGCCAAAAGGATGAGGTGCCACAATGGGTGACATGACTGACATTTGCCAGTGTCACTTGCTGATTCGAGCTCGTTCGCTGGCGATCCTTCAGGCTGTGGCAGCTTGTCATTTCAGCACATCGCTGACTCAGCACAGCAAGGCGCGGCGGTCATTTCTTCTCACTTCACAGTTGCAGCCGAAGGCCCAGAAGTCAGTCCCCCTTTGAGACCATTGTTTTGCTCGCGAAGTGTCGCACTTGCCTTGAAAAGAGGCACCCTTCTTCTCCCCCTCGTGGGGCACCCCAACAAGACGTGAAAGCCTCCACAAATCCGGGCCCCTTGCGAGAACCCAGGGTCGCAGCCAAAGGCCATGGACAGCATCCTGCAGAACTTGCGCAGGAAGTACAGGCGCGAAATTGTGTTGCGCATGGATGCCTGACAGTAAATTCTCAACACAATTCTCGGGGAGTCACTCATTTCCCCATGTCCTTTGGGGTCTCCTCCAAAAAACACACTTCACGGAATTGTGAGGGCACACGTTTGTCTTGGTCATAGCTCAGGTGGATCCAGCAAACCCCGGTGATCCAGCTTTCTGCAGCAGCTAATGTCGAGGACCTGGCAAGCTATTGTGCCTCATGGGTATATACTATGGGAGTCTGCGTTTGTGTGTGTGTGTGTTGAAAGGGTAACCTTTGTAGGGTTGGTCTCTAGATAGAAACAAAGGGACTTGAATTGGGCCGCCGCATGCCGCAAGCATATATGTTTTCCTGAACCTGGCTGCAGGACGCTCTGATTCTCCCGTAGCTGTGAGAATCCAGTTCGTGCCGTTCTTGCCAGTGCCATTCAAAGTAGTTGGCGATGTCATGGAATCGTTGCTCAACAGCCAGCTTGTTTCGGGTTGTCAAGTCAAGAGCACCCCCCAGGACGTCCATGGGTTCCCTTGCAAGCCCCAAAAAGGGTCCACAAAGCATGTCGAAAGCCCCTTTGGCCATTCGCCAACCACTGAGCTTGTGACACCGGCCTCCAGATTCGCTTAGGAAAAAGGTCCGACATTCGCAGGAGCTGTTTAAGTGGGGAGCAGAAGCGTGTGGGAGTTTCTTTCGAAAAATGAAATCCTAAGGGGACCCGAGCATTGGCATTTCATGCTTGGACTTTGTCTAGCAAGATTGAATCCCCACTGCAAAGGTCCTCTAGTTTTGAGCCACGGCTGGCCACAAAGTGTCAAAGCAGAGTGCGCAGAATATTTTTGGGACTCAGTTCGAGTACCGCAGATTCAACACAATGGGTCCGTTTTGGCTTGCTTAAAAGGGAAACCGAAAGCAGACCAATCATTTGTATGTGTTGTTGTTTTTTGTTTTGTTGTGTTTTTTCTTGGGAGGGGGAGGGGAGCGGGTATCACATACTTGCAACAGACATGTTGTGTTTGGCACAAGTTGGTGACATTCCAAAGGACAGCCGCGTGTGAAGACCAAGGGCTAGTCGCACTTGTTCTCAAGCATATCCAACGGGCCAATGACGCACAGAACAAGTCGCGTTCATCAATCCAGCAGATCATCAGCATCTCATGAACGCTGGCCGGATGCACCGTTCTTTGTGTGTTTTGCAATGAAGATGTAGACTTGGGTTTTCGTGCCTAGCTGGCCAAGATGTCAGATGTTGGCTAAATGGAAGTGGAGGGGAGGGGGGCTCCCAAAAAGGAAAGTAGCCTTCCCACCCCCTCCCGTCAGCTTATGTCGGGGGGAGTGCGAACATTTTCTTGGACCACTTGGGGGTTTCTGAAAATGGACCCCCTTTTGGTTAAGTGAAAGCCAGAAGGAAACCACTGTAACTCCAGTTGATTCCTATTTGGAGAACCCCCCCAAATGGTGATTTTCATTGCGGTTTCCCCTCACCACTTAACATGAGGTTCCTCACCTCCAAAAACTGACACCCCCACTTGAACCAAACAAAGAGACTCCTTCAGGAGTTGTCACTCAAAGGATCCGCGGATCGCCATGCCATGGGCGCGGAGCGAGGAGGAGCGGCGGCAGCTGCTGGGGGCGTTAAGTTCCAAGGTGACGGAGTCGCTGCGAGGCGCGGCCCGAGCGCGCCAGTCACGGCGTCCGGTACAAAATTCTAGGGGTCCAGCCATACCAAAAAAGAAGACAGGACGCACCTGGGTCCCAAGCACTGCTTTTTGGTTGCCGTATGAAGGCTATGTTGGAGATGGTTGAAGAAGCGGTCCAAGTTGCTGTCAGTTGTGCTTCTGTGCATCAACGAACCACTAAGTTTGGGACGACAGTTTTTTGAGCTTTGCCACACACGGGCCTTGATTCCTGAAACAAATATTTTTGAGGGTACCCCTTTTTGGGTGCCTTTTAGAGGAAAAGCCAAAGGAGAACGTTTTTTGTTTTTGGGGGATATATATATATATATATATATAAACCTCGACCATGTTCAAAAACCTAAAAGTTGTTTAACCCGGGTCCGCCCGCCTGCCTCCCGCGCTGCTTCAAAGCGCAGGTGGTTCCAAGAAGAAGAAGGAGGAGGCGCCGAGCATCGCCGTGGACCGGAAGTTGGCGCTGCTGAAGCTCCGGGACCTGGCGGCGAGTCGCGTGGGCAACGTGCGGGAGGCGCTATGGCAGGACGAGCAGGCGACCTTCGGGGCGTGTGGCGGGCGCTGTTTTTTCTTGGCCGTTGGCACCGTTCATGGCTGACACTGGGTTGGGTCGGCAGATATTGGCACCATTCAGGGACTTGCGGAGTTGGTGCTGGCTTCTTTTTTTTGCATGGTGCCAGATCGCTCGAATCTCGAACCCCGGAAGGGAGGACTGGAGAGTGCGCCGGAACTCCAACTCGAATCTCGCCGGCTCAAGAGCGCACGCGCAGCAATGCGCGCACACCTTTCGAATCATAAGCGCACCTGCTCAAGAGCAAGCCTCCCAAATCACAAGCACACCGGCTCAAGAGCGCACACTTAGCTCTGCGCGCAAGCTTTCCAAAGAAGCAGCATGCCGCCTTAAGAGCACCTGCCTTGAACTGCCTGCGCGCTTGCCAAAGAATAAGCGAATCCTCTCAGGATCGCACACGCCTGTCAAATGATAAGCGCACCCGCTCAAGAGCACACGCTCAGCGCTGCGCGCGCGCGCACTCTTAGCAGTGCACAAGCGCGCTCGCTGAGTTCCTTGCGCTGAGCTTTGCGGCACGCGCTCGGCACTGCACGCATGCCTGCGAGATGAGAAACGCATCTGCTCAAGAGCACCCGCTTACCGCAGCACATGCCTGCCAAATTGATCATCGCTCACCCCTGTGCACATGCCTGCTACATGACAAGCGCGCCCGCTCAAAAGCAAGCACTCAGCTTTGCACGACACGCCTGCCAAATGAGAAGCGCGCCCGATGAGGAGCTGTTGCTCAGCGCTGCGCGCACGCCCGCTAAATGATAAGAGCGCCCGAACTGGGACACTTGCAACCACGCACGCGGGGCAAACCCTTCGTCGCTGCCACACAGGATGGCTTTGCTTTTCGCCCCCCTCGGGGTTTCTTCCTATTCAGTACACTTGCGTTTGTCTCACGGACCACCCCGCCCAATGGTTTCCTTCTGGTTTCCCTTTTAAGAACAAACACCTCACTGGTCAGTTGAAATGCCCATTTGTTTTGGTACTCGACGAATTCAAAGTAGGGTCTTGCTTGTTCAACAACAAACACCTCAAAGTAGGGGGTATCCTGAAGCCAATTTATGCGTCGTGCCAAAAGTGGCATGCTGACTCATTTGCGCGCAGGTTCGAGAGAGCCTCGTGTCCTCCTTGAAAGCGTCTCTCAGTTGCAAGCAGATCGATCTTTTGACGTGCTTCTTTTTTGTTGGTTGGTTCCGTTTTTCAGGTCGAAGCTCCAAACGCACTTCCCTTTCTTTCTGTTTTTAATACAATACTAGCCATGTGATCCGGGTGTCCCCCAGTGTTTCCATTAGGGTTTTCCCGTACCTTTCCAGTTTGGAGCGAAGGTCTGAGCCCGAGCTGGCGCGAGTGCTGTCCCTGGCGGTGCTGGTGCACCTTTGTACCTGCGCTGTCAACTGCGAGCTCTTGCTGCGGGATGAAAAGGCGGGGCCAACACGAGTCGAAGCAAGCCGCTGGCTGAAGCATGGCTTGACCCGCTGGAGAAGGGCTGAAGGAGTACGAAGATTTGTTCTACCAAGGTCATTCTTCATACATATATAGTATATATATATATGTATCTCTTGGTTGGTTTTATGGTTCTTCGCAACAGAGTTCTAGTGATTGCGGCCTTTATAGTACTCCCTTCCAACTACACATGGAACCGCGAAGGGGATCCATGATCCTTTTCCAAAAGGAGGCTCGAAACGATCCGACCCAGGGTGCGTCAAAGAAGCAGACACAGAGACCCACACTTCCTTTCTTTGCGCCAGTGACCAGACGGTAAGTTGTTTTTTGTTTTTTGTGTTTTTTTTGGGGGGGTAGCTTGGAGCAACGTGGATGGTTGAAATGATGTTTTGTGTTGCAATTTCAGTGTGTAAGCAAGCATCATGGAGGGAGTTCCAATCAGTAGCAATCATAGATACGGACAGGGCAATTTGGTATCACATGAAGGCATAGTATTCCCACCATGTGCCAGGTCACTATGGGCAGTAGCTCTCGAAAGACCAGGAGTGCAAACAAAAAAACGGCAACCCGAAGCCACCAGAAGGCTGAAGGGTTGAACATGAGTGGGCACATCTGCCCTCAAGTTGGAAAATACGATGGATGATCACCTGCAACTGAACAACCGCCCTTCCCCCTTTTGGAAAGTTGGATTTTGTGCTCACTATCTGGCAAACAACTAATAACACAAGACCCCTTCCCCCCAAGTTGGACGGATGGGGAGAAAACCACCTGCAGGGTTGGGGCAAATCGCGGCCATGGCTCCCAGGAACGTAAGAAAAGCCCAGTGCAAGCAAGTGGTGAAACAAGCCACCCCAAACGGTGTTTAATTCAAGTGGGTTCCGTTTTTTGAGTTGGTACCCCTCTTTTAAGGTCTCTCAAGGGAAACCAAGAGCAAAATCACCATATGCGGGAGTCCGATTCCTAAAACAAGACTCACCTATTGGATACAACCCACGGGTCATGGATCTTTTGTTTATTGATTTTACGTTTTTCCTTTTTCTTCTTTTTTTTCCAACAAATCATCAAACAAATATATAATATATATATATATATCTAAGGGCTGCCGCCCTGTGCCGCCGCCCCCGGCTTGCTTATAACAATTGTGACTACGCGTTTATACATATTTATAGGGAGAGAGAGAGGGAAAAAAGAGGCAACAACAGCAGGGCAAGAAGCAAAGTTAAAGTTGCCCAAAGCCGACCTTTTAACCTTTTGGTTTTCCGATTTTGATCCATTTTTGGTCATGGCCCAAAAGGTTAACCTTTTATTTCTGGGTCCTTTGGGCAACTGAGTATATCTATACATTGTAGAACAAAAGCACAAGCAACAGGCGGTTTCAAGAGGTGCGTCTCAGCCTTCTGGAGCTCCAAGCGGAAGACGTGGCGGTAGAGGTGCAGGATGGGTGCGAGAGAAGTGGCATGGAATGAACCCGATGTGAGACCCATCCAACTGGTGATTTTTGTGTTTCTGTTTTTTTTTGATTTTGGTGTTGTTTCAGGGTTTCCTTTAACCGGATTTTTTGGGGATAAGTTCGAGATGAGTTCCATCCACCGGGTGGTTCCTTTTTTCGGGGGCCAACAATTGGGTTTGGTTCCCCCATTTTTGTTCTGAGCACCCCGAGAATTCCATGCAACTGGGGGGTTTCCTCCAGCCCGCTGGTGGTTTCTTTGAAGGGGAGTTTTTGTTTCTTCGTTCCATTTCTCATTCCCTACTTCTCGCACCAAGTCGGGTTCCTTGGGGTTGCCTGGAAGTTGTTTGGGGGAGCCTTAGACAACACCCAATGTTAGGGATACCATCAGAAGGGTGATGATTCGCAAGGGAATCCCCTATAAAATAATATTTCCTTTGGGTGGACGGTTGTCATGGGAATGTATCGTGTTTCCACAATGCAGACAGCCAGGAAGCCACAACCCCTGAAAAGAACAAGCAGGAAGCAGAGGAAAGGTTTGAAATCCCAAGAGGAAGCCAAGAGATGATGCTTGATTGTTCAATGGCAGCCATGATGTTTGATAGAAACCAAAGGAACACCTTAAGACAATGAAGAGTGTAATAGAAAACCAACAACCAGTCAAGTTTGCTGCTTATTGTTTTCCCAACAGGAAGTTAAAAGGGTATGGCAATTCCCAACAGCGACAGCTATGGGGTGATGTGGGACAGCGGGGCAGACTTCTGAGGTACTCAACTTGGGCTCGGCTCATGGTTTTTCACTTTTCCAGACACCCAGACATCCACTGGCACCCGGGTCCCAACAACTGCCTTTTCCTATGTGCAAAATGTCGAGTGTCAAGTGTCCAAAAAGCTGTGCTTTGGGGGTGCTGGCAACAGGTTCCTTTTTCTCCCTATTTCAGAGTTTCCCTATGTCAACGTCCAACAACACTTGCTGCTGCGATCAGTAGGAAAACTGCAAGGCGCCTCATGCGCAAGTTGCACACGTGCAAGTTAGAAAGAGGGTATCTTTCACAGTAGCTGCAGACGCAAAATGGTGTTTTTTCCTGACAAAGACCAGGTGCCGTTTTGGCACCTTGTTTGACTCCTTAAAAAAAAAAAAAAAACGTTATCCGCCAGCGGAGAACACCAAGCAAACAACCATTCAAGCAAGCAGGCATTACACAAACAAAGAACAAACAAACAAGCAAACAAACAAGGAAGCGCTTAAAGGAAGCCACCAGTTGGATGGTTCCATTCCATTTCTCATTCGCCCAGCGCGCCAGCAAGAAAAGTGGTCGACCTTTTTCTCCGGGGGAGCTGGATTTTTTTACGTACTGGCCATGGGTCAAATCCAAATCGTACCCCCAGTCAGTGAACATCCCAATCCCCACTAAGACAGACTAAAATGGGTGGTGCACCTACCCCAAAATGGCACCATTGGTGTTGACCCACAGCCTACTGATTTGACACTTTCGAGGAGAAAGGGCTGCTGCTGCTTGTGACTTTAACGCTGCCGGCTTTCGGCGATTGCCAGGAGGACTGCAGGGGGGGGGTCCGTTTTTTTTTTTTTTTTCTTAGCCTGACGTTCGTGCTTCCAGGAGGGGGGGCAGGGGTCTTTTGTGAGGGTACCCCTTTGTGTGTGGTGTTAAAGGAAACCAAAAGGAAACCCACCATATTGGGGGGTCCCCTGAGAAAAACGCAGGGTGTTGTGTTTCTTGCAGCAAACCCATCGCACATTGCCAGGGATGATGTCCATCAGACATGGAACCCTCGTTGGCTGCTTAGCAACTCTCGAGTTCAACAGAGCCAAAGCCCCGATTTGTCAATGACGCCAGTTGAAACATGGCATTTTCCAGCAAAATAAAGGGACGCCACCATTTAAAAGGCAATGTTCAGGTGTATAATGTAAGGATCCCTGTGTAAATAGTCACTTTGTATGGACACTGTAGTATCTTAGATATTTCGGTATGCGTATGGCTATATGGATTTTTATGGGACACACCCGCAAAATGATGGGTGGACAGAACCCCCACGTAACTGATGTCCACCAAAGCGACCCAAATAAAGTTGTACCCATATTAATATACGTATATATGGAGAGAGATAGAAAGACAGTGGTTGGTTGAGCTGTTTGGTTTTCCATCATTGATGTGTTGCTTGCTGATTGTGTGTGCGTGTGTTAGTCTCCGGTGTTTGCTGCTTGGCTTATTCCCCTAGTACTTTTGCCCCCCAAGGAGCTTGCTTGCTTGCTTGCTTGCTTGCTTGCTTGCTTGCTTGCTTGCTTGCTTGCTTGCTTGCTTGCTTGCTTGCTTGCTTGCTTGCTTGCTTGCTTGCTTGCTTGCTTGCTTGCTTGCTTGCTTGCTTGCTTGCTTGCTTGCTTGCTTGCTTGCTTGCTTGCTTGCTTGCTTGCTTGCTTGCTTGCTTGCTTGCTTGCTTGCTTGCTTGCTTGCTTGCTTGCTTGCTTGCTTGCTTGCTTGCTCGCTCGCTCGCTCGCTCAATTGTTTTTCCTTCTTTATTTCTGCTCAAAAAAAAGGGCTGAAGGGTTGCAAAGCTGAAGGGCTGAAGGGCTGGTCAGTTGAAGAGCTGCAGGGTTGAAAGTTCGCCCCGTTTCAGGACTGCGAGGACCTGCGGGACATGCTGGGCCGCGTGCTGCGCAGCAAGCGCGCCGCCAACGAGCGGCTGCTGGTGCTGCGGGCGCTCTGGAGCGCGGCGGCGGTGGTGGAGAGCCCGGAGCTGTTCTTTGGCGCCCCGGTGCAAAGAAACGACGCCACAAGGACAGCCAATAGCCCAGGGCATTTCATGTGAGTTGGTGATTCCCTGACCAGCAAGGAAGGACAATCAAATGACCAACCACAATGGAACTAACTGGGCTTGGCAAGCAACAGATGTGTGTGTGTGTGTGTGAGCAAGCAACCAGCAGGGAACCGACCTAGCAACTAAACGAACCAATTAAAGCTTGCGGGTTTTCAGTAGGCAACAGCAAGAAGCCACAGGTGACCTTGTATTTTTGTTGAAGAGGGGGGTTCATTTAAATTCAACTACCAAGATGAAATGCAACAGGATAGCACATGTTTCTGGAAGGCAGCCTCGTTTCTATGCTCTGGTGTTGCAAGGTTTGCAAAGCAGGTTGAATCTGCGACCACCATTGTGCCTTGAAAGAGGATACCGACCAAATGGTATGGTTTTGAGAGCTGCAAAGCAAGTTTACTCTTTGTCTTTCTTTTTGCATGTGAAAGGCAAAAGGAAGCTACCCAAAACAGAAGTAAACCTGGGCAAACAGAAACCAACTTCACAAAACAAAACGTGGTTTGAAAGCACCTCCAAGCAAAGAGAAGGACACCACTGAAACAATGGGAAAGCAACCAACACAGAAGAGACACTGGGACACCAACAAAATCAAGCAAACTTAGCAGGAACTTTCGCAGTCCTGAAGCTATTTGAGCTAGCCCTCTCTAAGAATGCGTGCACTTGCGCGTGATCGAAGACTAGATGCACTGCGCGTGAAGCAGCTACGAAAACAACATAACTGCTAAACGCGAACACTGCGGAATTGAGCTATCCCGAAAACCTGGCTCTGTGCGCAAGTTCGGCTTATGTGCGCGCAAACTACTTCTGTCGCGACGGCTGTCTCGGAGCGTTCTCAGACCATGATTGGAGCGGCCCCTTAGCACGGCCGCGTGGTGAAGTTGTCCGCGGACTCTCGTGGGGCCGACTCTCATATGTTTTTTCTTTTGTTTTTCTCGGTTTTCACTTTGCTCAAGCAACCCTGTGCGGTTGTTTCATGGGCCGACCTCTAAGACTCTAAAAGTATCGTGTGCTTTGTGTTTTTTGGCTTGCGCAACCATCAAAAGGTGAACTTCGGACTCTCGGTGGGTGGGAATTTAATTGTTTTTGCAAATTTTCAGCTCACAGAAACTTCTGCGGACTTGCGGCGGGTCAGCATCCAACCCTTTGCGGGCTGGAGAGAGAGAGAGAGGGAGAAATATATATATATATATATCTATATATATATAATTTTCGGAAAAGAGAGAGAGAGAGAGAATAAGAGAGAGAGAGAGAGAGAGCGAGAGAGATGGACAGCGAGAGAGAGAGAGAGAGAGGAGTAAGACAGAGAGAGAGAAGGAGAAAGAGAGAGAGAAGAGAGAAGGAAAGGGAAGAGAATCAGACAGAGACAGAGCAAGAGAAAATAAAGAGCATGAGAAGCAGCAAGAGAGAGGAGAAGAGAAAGAGAACGAGAAAGAGAAGGAATACCATGCCAAAAAACAAGTAACGCGGAAGAGAAAGACAAAGATAAATAAACGGAAGAGGATAAAGAGAAGTCAGAAAGGTGAAGAGAACCAGGAAGAGAAATACAAAGAGCAAGAGAAGCAGAAAGAGGCAGGAAAGAAGTTGCAAAAAAGAGATAGAGCGAGAGCGAGAGAGAGAGAGCTTCTGCTTTTCGTGAAAAGGGACAGCCTTCAGTTTTTGGAGGGCGGTGCCTGGCGAATCAACTGTTTGAACAAGAGCCTGGATTGAAAACCAGAAGAAACCAACATGGGGCCGACCTAAACCAGGGCAACCTTCAAACTGGGCAGCTCGTGCTTTGTGGTCTCTTTGGGGAACCTGCCCTTTATTTCAAGACCAAGCTGTTTCAACAACTTGGGCCTCCCCCGCTTGGCTTTCCCTTTTTTGAGGGTGCCCCTTTGTTGGCGACTTGAAGGGAAAACACCAAAAGGAGAACCAAAACCCATGTTTTTGGGGGGTCCAACAAGATACACCCAGATGATTGGTGGAATCCATGGGTTCTGACACATTTTTTTGGGAAATCCATTGGTTTTCTTTGTACAACCAACGATCCTCACCTCGACGATGGCTTGGGCCTTTGGAGCAACCCGCAGAAAAGCGCAAGGAAACATAGGTCTTGACAGGTGTTCCGTTCTACCCTCTTGAACCACGGTCTTCATTCAAGACAGGAAGGAGCATATTTGCGGGAGAAACAAAGAAAATCACGCAGGCGTGAAATCCCCTGAAGAAGGCTCGGATTTTAGCAACTTGCAGATGTGCCCACCGGTTCGGGTTTTGGTTTCAATCCGGGTTTCCTTGAATATGTCGGAAGTGTTGGTGGTGGCTTAAGATAAGGGTTCGGGAAAACATGTTCCCCAACTCTTTGACGAGGCTCTCTTTTGCAGGCCTCACACCACCCAAAGCTTGCCTGGTGGTTCCCACTACTTCCCCCCCCCCCGGCAACAAGGGATCGCCGTATTTCGAGAAACCAACTCATTTCGGTCCGCACACCTTGGAGAAACATTCGACGAAGTGTCGGTTTTTTGGAAGGCAACAAGCGGCTTTGGGCCGCGCTGCTCGCGGGCATCAAGCAGGCCGGTTTCGGCTGCGCCGGGTGTTTGGGCCGGGTGTTTTCGGGCAGCCGCGCCACAGAAGGGGGTTAAACTGGTGGTTTGGATTGGATTGGGAAATTGATCCTGCTTCTTGTATAGGCTAGCACACCGACCAAACCAATCCAAGCCACCAAGTAGAGGGAGTTGAAATATGGCACAAGGTCAAGTGCCAAAAAATATCTACACCGCAGCTGCTTAGGCCCATCAAAATTGGGAGCGATGGATGCCAATGCCAGTCCAAAAGCCCAAATACGAGGTTTGGGTTGGGACCGAATTCAAGCAGTACATCCAGTGGTTTTCTATCACCTCCGACGAATGGCGCAGGGTTTACCACGTTTTCCCACCTGCTACAAATGAAGGCACCCCTTACACATGCGGAAACCCGCGGAAAGTTGCAAACCGCTCCTGTCATCGGTCGGTCATGGTGCGGTGATCCAGTCTGGCGTTTGGCATCGTTTGGAACACTACATTGGGCTCTTTGCAACAGAGCCGTTTTGGACATCACCCTTGAACCAAATGCATGTTGTTTTTTGAGAGAACCCTTGTTGGGTTGTCTTAAACGGAAAACAAAAGGACAACCACCATTTTGGTGTTTCCCCAAACAGAGACGCACCCAAATTGTTGAACGGGTCAACCGCTGCACAGTTGTGTAGCCCCTGCCTTGTTTGTTCATAAGCCACCGTGGCCTATAGAAAAAACATATAAAGATGGGTTCTCGCAGGTTTTGACCCTCAGCTGCTCCGGAAACTCGACAAGTTACCCAAGACTTGTTCGAGTTTCCTGGTGAACTCCAGGAGGAGGATGTGGACATCCGTGAGGCGAACCTGGGAGTGCTCAGCGCTCTGGCGCCTCAACAAGCCGTGGCCCACTTCCTTTGGGACGGTGCCGTTTGCGTGCCCCGGCAAAGGTGCTCAGCTTGGATCGCTGATGGATGTTTCTTGTGGGTTGTTGGAGCTTCAGGAGTGGCATTTTTTGGTTGGAACAACACCGGCAAATTGCGTCCCTTTTGAAGGGGAAGTCCGGTGACCAGTGAAAAAGAGCCGCAAACTTGGCGGAGTGGAGGCCTCTTCTGTTTGATTGTTCCGTGTGCTGGTTTGGTGGAGGTCCAGTTGTTGCGATTTGGTCTTGCCTTAGTGGGGGACTGGTATATGAGTCCAATTGTCGGATAGATCAACCATGGCACACACATTGCCTGGTGTTGCTACTCTTTGAGTCTGGTTTTACTGATTCGAGTGGGCTGGTCGGTCCCTTCAAAGCTGGAAGAGATGAAATAGTCACGGGGATGGTATACTGTGGAAATTTTCCCTGCAATTGTTCCATGCAATTCAATCAGCCCGTGTCGCTTTTGGGAGCGCCATCTCCGAACGCGTTTCAATGCGCGAACTCTCGTTTGGGTTGTGGATTCGACCGCGGCGACCGATTTCAGGAGCAGCTCTTCCTGAACACGCGCCGTTTCCAGCCCTCACGGGTCCGCAGACGGGCCCTCACCGTGCTCGCAGGTGCGCGCATTTTTTGTTGTTGTTTTTTTGTCGGGGCCGAAAGCCAAATGTTTGGGTCTTCTTTTTTCAGCTTAAGTTTTTTTTGGGGGCCCTGTTTGTTTCTCCGATGAGGGGCATGTTCATCATATAATATATATATATATATATATGTTAGAGGGTCTAGACATTCCAGACGCCATGACCTGAGCTAAGCAACACAGAGTTTGAGGATCGTACCGTGAAAATTTGCGTCAGTAGCTACCTTTGCTCCACAGTCTTGGTCTCGTTTGAGTCATGACCCATAAAGGTCATCCCTGTATTTCAAGTAAGATAGGGTTGCAGATTGCTGCAAAAGCGTGTGCCTGTTGACCCTGTTCGCTTGGACAAGCACGGGTTCCGTGCAAATCCCGCATTGGATCTGACGTGCCCACTGGCTCGCGCCAGGTGTTGCACGCGACTCGGCGGTGAGGTGCTCGCTTTGGGCATATGACCAAGCGCTGGCGAATGCGACAGAGGACGTGCCCTCACGTGTTGCGAGTCATGGACAGAGGGTACCCGTTTCACCTTGTTAGGCAATCCAAAAGGGAACGCAATTTTTGGGGCTCCCCCTATTTTGATAAATGCGCTTATATTTCCTTCGGGTGGTTCCCAGGCGAAACTGAGCAATCAATAGTCCTCATGCTTCATTTGGCAGTCCCTACCAATACTATTCGCCCCCTGCATGATAATGGTCCTGACGCCAGTCACCCATAAAACCACTTTGGCCATTCTTCCGCAATTCCGTGAGTCAACCAAACCAAGATGTCCCTTCTTTGGTTTATTTCCAGGGGTTTGATCCATCTTCAAGCTCGCACTTGGCCATTGGCCATTGGCCATCCGTGGACCCACGGGCACTTCTGTCGACATGAATCCCAGGGCCCCGGATGCTTGGGCTGGTTTGTCGCAACCAAAGACCCCAAGGCACAAGGTCCTGGCATACACATGTTTGTTGTTGGGAAACATTTTACATTTTTGCTTATTGTGGTTTAGAGGGAAATCCCCACTTAACTGCTAAAATTTCGCTTTTTGCTCCCCTTCCAACGTCAACCAAGTACAAGCAGGAGGCTTCGGGAAAATGTGGTTTTCAGACCCCACTGGACCCAAAGAAGCCGCCAACCCACTCGGACTCGGGTTGCCAAATGTGACGGGATTGGACCTCCAGAATGGCCTCGGCTGCCCAAAACAGGGTGCCTCAAACAGAGAGCCATATGGGTTCGTCTCCCTGCCCACCCGAATGGGTGGTTTCGAAACCACCTCTTTCCCATCCCGAATTCGGGTGAGTCAGGAGAACTTCCAGTCGTTTGAGCGGCCGGAAAAGGGGCGCTCGCGGATGGGCAGCGAGTTAAGCGTGGAATCGGAGGTGACGATGACCACCATGAAGGACTGAGAAGGGGTGCTCGGTCCCCAAAGAGGGGGGGAATGAGGTGCACTTGGTTTTGTTTTGGGGGGGAGGCTCGGTACAGCCAAAAAAACACATTTTGAGGGTTCCATGTTTCAAATCCAAATTGGAGCCAGTGGTGTCAAACAAACAAATGGGAGCGTCGCTAAGCAAAATGGGAGGTGAACTTGAGTGTTTTCAAAGCACACACACACATCAAGCGGACAATGGCCATGAGCTTACCTCGGAAACTGTAGTGTGTCTTCAAAAAAAAAGAAAAAGGAGAAAACGCAACTCCAAGCAAACATGCGTGCAAACTTGCATATTCACAGCTGGCATCCAATTATTTGCCCGGCCGAGTAACAAGTGGGCAAAAGTGGTTGGCGACTGATTCGCGCGTAAAGCGCGTGATTCGCGCATGGCCGCTGCGGCCGCCCAAATGGGCGAGCCCAGGATAGCTTTCTTTGAGCTGAGTGACAGACCCGGCATTTTGGGGTCGTGCGATGAGAGGAAATCGGCTTGCACTTCCCCCGCGAGGCGGCAGGTGCAATGGGAACTTCAGCGAGATGTCGTGGCCAAAAGTGAACACAAACCAGAGTTTGATGTTGCAGATTTGATGCTAAGGCTGTCACGACTGGGACTTGAGAGAGGCTTAGGGCCGGTTTTGTCGCTGGATATGCACACACGCACGCACAGATACACACGCAAGTCTCACTTGTGATGGCAACTGAGATGATGTCTTGGCGGATCTACTTCCAAGCCAGCATCAACCAATCTATTCTGCCCCACCCGCTTGCCCGCTTGCCCGCTTGCCCGCTTGCCCGCCCTGCATGGACGTGCGCAAGCTGCACAGATCCTGGAGCCCACTGAAAGATCGCCGACCAGCAAATGGGAGGATGAAGGTGCAACGTCCACCCAAACCCTTGAAGCCCCATTTTTGTATGGAAAGTCGAGCAACGGGCTTCAAAGAGAACCTCCAGGTGTGGGGGGGTTATTTTTCCATTGGCACAAGGTATGCCCCACCTTTCTGTTTAAAGGCTTCCCCTTAATAACAATACGCGATCTGGCACGGCAATACTTTTCTGGCACGGCAATACTTGTCACACAATCATCAAACGCTTTTCCCAGAATTTGGCCTGCCTTTAAAGTGGAAAGGCCTGAACAAAAAGTGGTGGCCAGTGGTGGCCAAGGGAATCAGCAGCCACTTTGGCACAGGAAAGAGAAGACTGATAAACCGTTTTGTTCGGAAGGAAGGCTTCAGGAAATGGCGGACTGTTCTTTTTTTCCCTGACACTTCAGTAAAAAATGTTTCTTCTTGGACCTTGTAGGCCAATTCTGGATTGGCCATCACCGACGGGATGGGGTGCGAACGCGGGCCAAGTATAGCAACCTCGCCACTTCCATGATGATGGTTCCGTTCAGGTTCCCCCTCATGTGCGGTCTGTGAAAATTCACACTACAGCAAGAGGAAGTTGACCGGTTTTTCTAGCCACGCTCAGAAAGTCTCCAAGAAAAGGCCACGCAATGTGGATTGTCAAAAAAAAGCGGTTTCGAATCCCAAAGTGGGTGGTACTTCACTTTGATGTTCCTTTAACATCGCCTAAACGGTTGCTGCATGCAGGACAGCATCATGGAAGCCGCGTCTAGAACCGAGCTACCTAGCGTGCGGTGGCCGGCGCTACGGGTTCTTCTGGAGCTGACTTGGGAGGAGGAGTTGATGATGCGCCTGATCGAGAGCAACATTGCAGACTCTTGGCGTTCTGAGTTTCAATGGGTTCAATCCCTTACAAGTGGTTGATGGACATAGATCCCTACTTATAAGTGGAGACAATCCCAAGCGGCGTTTAAGCACGCATCATGTGAAAAGAAGCATCCCCTCCGTGGGAGGAAGAGGGTACTCTTTTCAGCCTTAAAAAGAAGCCAAAGGCAGATCGTCCGTAACCTTTTTCCTTTCAAGTAAGGCCATAGCGACCGACTTGTTTGGGGAACGACGTTGAAGGGTTGTAAGTAGCAACATTCTGGGGAGCCCCTTCATTATACGCGCGTCTTTGTTGAGACTACTATTTATTTGTGTGCGTGTGTGTGGGGTTGCCCTTTTCTCATCAATCGTGGCACACTGTTTGAAACAACCTCCTGGACACTTAATGAGACTGGCTGATCAGGGCCTGCGTTTGAAGAAACCTTAAAGAGTGCACTGTTACCTTTGCACCGCAGAGGCTCAGATCTCAACTTCAACTGTAGAATGGCGGCTTGTTTCAGAACAACAACCTTCACTGTTCTTGTCATGTCGTTTTTGCTGTTTGCCTGGTTCTGTAGAATTTTAGTAGAGCCTTATTAGGGCTTCATTTCATGCGAATCATCTCAATTGACCAGACAGTTGTAGGCTCACCGTGTCAAGTTTCTCTTGTGAGGTGGACCTGTCAGCTGCCATTGTGTGACTTGACATCGAATTTGTAAGCTGCCTAGGGAATCGTGATAAGGCTGTCCAGGCTTAGTTGCCAACCTTGTGCTGGGTTTTTATGGGGTCATGCCATGCTGATTGCCGCTTGGATACCCCCCCTCCGCCTTGCGGTTCTCGGTCTCGGCATACCAGGGAGACACCTTTTTGCGTCAATGTTTTTTGGCAGGCCTTTTTTGGGCGGTTCTCATGAATCAGAGCCCTTTCCGTCCCCGGTCTCGTTTCCGTGCCACCACTCGAAAACGCGTCCTAAGCGCAGAAGGGTCACCACGTTATCATTTGTGTTTTTTTTGTTGGTGGAAGAGCAGCAAAACCGCTGGATCCTTTGGGCCCCTTGAGTCCTTCAGAGCGCCGCTCAGGAAATCTTGTTCGATGCCCTGCACGACGAGCGCTTGGCCGTGAAAGAGCGGAAGCTCTGCAAGCACGGCCGGAACCGGCTCCTGAATTGGAACGAGGCCGGGGTCCGACGTTCCGACGGTCCGACCCCAGGCCCCTCGTGTTCCCCAACTGTTTTCATGCAGGTCCTCGTCCCCGAACTACGTGGGGTGGGGGAGGGGACCAGAGCTCCCTTCAAAGCGGAGTCTTTCCCATTGTTCCTATGTGGCTAGGGAATGAAGGTCAGGAGGGGCTTGTCGCCGTGTTTTTTTGCTGGGGATGCCTGGCGCAAATCCCGACTTCCGGAAAAAGGCAAAGTAACAGTCAGCCTTCGCTCACTGGAGGCTTTTAAGATGTTGGTCTTCTACCCTCGCTGCCATGAGCCATGAATACTTGGCAAAATTGCGTCCCTGCCAATCCCGTGGAGACAAGACGACCCAAGACTTTGCATCCCTGGATTGGACAAAAACAGTTCCCTTCCTTTGGGGACAATCCAGCAACCAGGAAGGGGATCATGCCTTCCCTGTTTGACACCGTTCCATTTGGCCAAACAAAACAAACAATGTTCCATTTCCCATATGGGAGTGTCTAGTCTATTTTTGGGGACCCCTCCTCAAAACACAACAACACAAGGTGTTTTCCATTCGGGTCTCCAAAAAAACTACCCTAAACAGGGTACCCTAAACAGGGTACCCTAAACAGGGTACCCTTAACCTCATGGCTCCCTTTTTCCCTTTTTGTTTGGTGGCTGCCCCACTAAAATGGTCTTCCCAAAAAAGGGTTCCCTTTTTTTTCCAGGGTCACTGAACAACTTTGTAACTTTGTTTTCCAGTTCGGTCTTCTCCCATTCGGAGACAGCCCAAGCGCCAAAACCTTGAGGCACGCCTGGCAGAGGAGCTCCGGCTGGAGCGGGAGAAGGAGGCAGGGCGAACCTGTGGTCATTGGGTCCAACATGTTGTGCAAAACATGATGGGGTAGTTAAATTGGTCATAGAAAAGGGGGGGGGTCCGTTTGTCATTTTGAGATTTTGAAGGTTGTTTTAAGCTCTTGAGTTTCGGTCAAACAGGGGGTGGTCTTCTTCTTTTGTACTTGGTATTATTTTGAGCTTCGTGTTTTTGCCGGTTGGCCCGGGAACCTTTGAAACCAACTCTGGGCCTGCGTCAAGTCCCAGCGCTCGACCGGGATAGCGCGCAGGAGGGCGAGAGGCAAAGCATGCTGCGAGAGGAGGAGCGCCAGGCACCATCCATCGACGGGAATGGACGGACCGAAGCGTAGGTTTGATCTTCGGGAATGGACGGGGCGAATGGTTTGGTTTGGTTTGAAACGGTTTGTTCCCTTAAGAGGGGTTGACGGGTGAATGGGTTGTCCCCAGATGGAACCAACAGGGCTGTTGCGTTCGGGGTTTGGAAGGCTTTTGCCTTCGGGTTTTGGAAGGTGTTTACCCAACCACCTGTCAAGGTTACAGAAGTGCGAGAAAGCTACACGACCTTCAACCGGGTACACGAGAGTAGTCATTAGGTGGGACTGGGGGATGTGTCTTTTGGGACCCCTGTAAAAGAGTTATATGGCTGTGGGTCAACACCAATGGTACCATTTTGGGGTAGGTGCACCACCCAGTTTAGTCTATTTTAGTGGGGATTGGAACGTTCACTGGGGGTACGGGCTTTTGACCCACAGCCATATAGTATATAGTTTCAACTTGGAGTTTGCGTGCGACATCGGTGAGAAGCAGGAGCAGATAAGACCAAATCGGGCGGCGGCGACACCTACAGGGTCCCTTTTCTGGCGACATGTGGAACACAGTTGCCGTGGACGGCTCTTGGGGAATTTTACGCAACAAAAGTTGCAGACGTCGCTATGCTTTGCATTCAAGTCAAGCCGCATCACTCTTTTTTGGCGAGGGTCCTCTTGGTGGGGAGATGTTTAAGGGGGACATATGAGTTGCGGAGCCAATGTTTTGTTGGGGGACATATGGGAGCCCTGTGCTATGACCGTATTCAAAAAGGAACCCTTCAAAGGGTGTCCTTGGTACCTCAAGTTTGATACACGTCTGAGTAAACGAGCGCCCACCAAGAAGAGTCTTAGATGGGGCCGGTGTTGCCGGGTGCTGGGCGTTGCTACATCTGGAAAACGAAGCCAGACAGCTGGTCGAGACCCGGAAGACTTGCTCATCAGCAATACGAATCGGACCCACTTGATGCTGAGTTTCCTTTGGGCACTCCTGCTCAGGGGTCTATTCGCCTTTTTTCTGAATTTGATAGGAGAATATGCGTGGATGCGCTTCAGGACAGTTTGTGGTGTCAGTTAATGGCCCAGATTCACACACAACCCCCTGCCCAAGATCTTGGTGTTGCTCCACGGAGACCAACACAAAACGCCGGTCGGCCGTTTTTTGCTTTTTGGGGGGCTTCCGCGAGCCTTTTTCGGGCGTTTTGCAGGTGCTTCTTCGAGAGCTTCCTGCACCTTTGGCCTGTTTTTTGTTCGCATGCTGACGGGCCATGGTCGATATTAAGAAGCAGCATCCGCTAGAAACAAGATAGCACGGGGAAGGCTCCACAGAAAAAAGTGGCAAAAAAGAAACACGAGGAAGTGGGGGTAGGCAGTTGGGCACTCAAGGAATGTTGACGGCGGCTCACATCCAGTTGCCCTGTGCCCTTGTTTACAGAGCAGGGGCATTGACATTGCAGTCACCTTTAAAGTCAACCAACCAAAAAAGGATGCCCTTTTTTCCCTTGCTACTGGGCATCTGGGGAAGAATCCATTGTCTCAGCTGCCGTCTATAGGGGTTGAGTCCGGATTCTTTTCAAGCATTGTTCTTTTCCAAAGCCCAGTGGATCCCAGGTACTACTATACAGGTCATGGGATCACTCAGCGCTTGTGGCTAGTTTGTGGTTTCCTGGAATTCATTCGGAAAGCCTCTGGAAGCTATGCCTTTCGCCCTCCTTCGCAGTGTGGGCGTCCGCGCAGCGTCAGAATTGACATGTGAGGACCTGGAAAAAGGATGTCTCTCACCACCCTTTGTCCTGAGTTCCTGAGCTTGATACTTTGGGAAGGCCATTGTAGCGGCAAAGAGTTTGGGCGTTTTTGGCCAATCCGCTCAAGGATGATCGTGTTGTTGTGTTACTAGGGCTGGTTAGTTGGCTGGCTGGCTGGTTGGTTGCTCCCAGCCCCAGCGTCATCGGGACTTGGACCTAGGGTTGCCCATAGGATTTGGCAGTTGAGAGTTGCCCGGCTTGGTTTAGGGTAAGCTTTTTCTGAGGGGGCCTTGGGTTGGTTTGGGGTTCATTTGCAAAGCTCTGATATCCAGGGTGCTGTTGGGTGGGTTCGGGTTGACTTTGGGCGGTTTTGGTCGGCCTATGTTGGCTTAGAGCTGCCTCAACATATGCTTCGGCTCGCTGAGGCAATGATAAAGGCGGATCAAGCCAGTGCCGACTTCGAGGTGGGCTGATGAAGGGACCCGCGCGAAAAGATCCCGAAGTTTCAACCCGAAGTGGAGTTGGGGAACAGGCAGTTGCAATTCGATGTTCCCTGTTTGGGGCGAAAGACTACAATGTGCGGCCCACAGACCCTTCCCCTAAGGTCAGTTTGGTTTGTTGGCTGGCAGAGATGCTTGGCATCGTGTGAGTTCGGTCAATTCGGTCAACAGATTCGGCAGTCTATTCTCAATGTCAGACAGACATGGGGCAGTCTCAAAATTTCAACCAAAACCGGGGCTCGCTAATGTGCCGATGTCCATGACCCGTGGCACAGAGGTGGGCTGTCCTTTGACCCGTCGAAGTGTCACAGATCTCCACATCTCCCTGATAGGACTGGTTCAAGCGGCACAAGGAAACGCTGGCGATGCAAAAGGAGGATGAGTCATCTCGCAGATTCAACGAGCACCTTTTGCCACTCGATGCAGGAGCTGCGTAGACCGGCCACCGGCCCGGGGTTCAAGTTGCAAATGGTGCAAATGAGTTCCGTGAGTTGGGTGCCGATTGATTTGCACAAGGGATTCATTTTGGTGGGTCGGATGATTGCTTGAGTAGTCACAGTGACAAACCGATTTGAGCGTTCGACAAGAGAAGTTTGACATGGCGGCATCGACTCACCAGCCCTGGCCGAGGTTCCTCTTGGACATGAACAGGAAGTCCATGACTAGAGAAGATGAGCTCGCGCGTCAGGTTCGCGAGCAGGACGGGGTGGCTTTGATTATCTTGAAACAAACGGCAGCTTTGAGCTGTACGCGGCGTGTTACTTTTCAGGCGTCTTTCGCTGTGAGAATGAGGCGGCATTGAGACGCCACCGGAGTGCACTGCCGTCAAGCTTTAAGGGGCCTTAAGCTTCTCACCTTGGACCCGCCACGGCGGCTCCCAAAAGCTGAATTCTGCGACTCCAAAAACGGTTGGTGTCCCTTTCGTGCCCCTTCAACCGGAAATGGGGGTCGCCAAACAATGACACCTGGACCCTCAAACCGCCCTGCAAAAAGGAGCAATCGCCCCACAATGGTGGGGGTCCACCCCTTTTTTGCGGGTGCTTTGTATGTTTCCTGTAGGTTTCCTGTAGGTTTCCTTTAGGTTTCCTGTTTGCTGTAGGTTTCCTGCGGGTTTCCTTTGGGCCTTTGGGTTTCTATGTTTGAGCCGGATCTTCGGTCCAGCTGGCAGGAGCTCGCGGCGGCGTTGGCGGGGAAGATCCGAGCCGCCAAGGAGCAAGCGGCGGAGGCGGCGGCGCAGGCGGCCCTGGCCATGGCCAAGGCTCGGCTCCCGCCGTTGAATCGGGGCGTCCGGGGCGGCGTTTCTATTATTCTTATTTATTTGTCATGGGCTTCACGTTGGTCGTTTTGGCCGTGTTTGTCGTTGTTGTCCTTTTAGTACGAGTAGTAGTAGTAGTAGTAGTAGTAGTAGTAGTAGTAGTAGTAGTAGTAGTAGTAGTAGAAGAAGAAGAAGAAGAAATCGTAGTAGCAGTAGCAGGAGCAGTAGCAGTAGCAATAATAGTAGTAATGGTAGTACTATTATATAACTATATTACCATGATTCTGTGGGCCACGGGGATTTTCAAACAAAACTTGAAAATCACAGGGAACAATAACACCACGCTAAAGCTTTGGGGTCCGATTTGTTCTAGATGGTTGGTTGCATGGGTTGAAGCTGTCATTTGGACCCCCTTTTGAGGGAAAATTAAAGGAGGTTGGTTGAACAATGGAAGCCAAAACAGGTTTCAACAGCAAGTTGCGGCCCCCAACCGTGACCAGGACCCACCTTCAAAAGAAGCAGCCAAGGAGCACATTGAACCAATGCTGAACTCCATGGAACCTGTTGGAGGCTTTGGTCATGAAGACTTGTGTCTCTGGAGGTTGGACACGTTCGGACCTGGGATCCCTTTGTGACTGGCTTCGGAAGCCCCAAAAGCGCCGTCAGGAATCGGAGAATCTTCTAGACTTATTGCGGAGACTGGGGGGGGGGAATCAAGTGACGGCCCCCTTCAAAAATGGAATTGGGATGAATTAGGGATTAGGGAGGGGATGTCGACCCCTCGAATTATGTTTATGGCAGCACTGTTTTTCTAGATATGTTGAATTAGCCGCCCCTGCCACACAAAAATTGGGTTCCTGGGAGGGCCGTCGAAGAACGATGGCAGCTTTTTTGCAGGGGAGACAATCAGACGCTAAATAGGATTTTGGTTGGCTCGAAAGTCATCCAACATCCAAAGCGGCCGAAAGCAGAGGCGTGACTCAAAATGAGGAATCGACCTGCACAAACCTCATCGAAGGGACAAAAAGACTGTTTATGCATCGTGTTGTTTTTTTTTGTTTGTACCTGGAGACTACTTGTTTGAGCTTTGTGATATCGCAGTTTGCGCTTCAGCCGGGAGAGTTTCTTCTTGGTTGTGCCATCCAAGCGGTTGGATTTAATCTGGTTTGAGACAGACTCACAAAGCCAAACACGGGCAAGACGCATAGCCCGGGTGATCGGAGTGCAATGAGCCTGGATGCGAACTGTGTTTGGGACGATTCTTCAGCATCAGCTTTCCTTTGCTTGGTGGTTTGGAGCGACACCGGGGGTAGTTTCCAAAATATATCCTCTACAAGCGCCAGGGGTTCAAATCCCCAAACCACCAATCCAAACCACCGATGAAGGAACACCTGATATGTTCAGAACAGTACCGGGGGAGGGGTTGGCCAAAAATGGGAAGCCCTTACTAGGTTCCTCCGCGCGTTTGCTAGGCTGTCATTTTAAAAGCCCTTGTGTTTGATCAAGATTCCTTCTCAGCCATGAAGCTGCTTGGTGCGACCTTCATGGGATGCGAGAGTGTTTGCCCCGCAAATTTGCTTTGCCTTGAAAGGCGGGTGTCTGAATTTCAGGAAAGGAACTGCCAGGGTTGCACGTTGAAGGGGACTACTATCCCTTCCCCAAGCATCGAATCCCCTTGAGGAGCATGTGTTTCCAAAGACCTTGTGTTGTGACAGGGTACGCACCATCCTGAAAATGGGACCTTCAAAAACAGAGAGAGAGAGAGAGACAAAAAGAGAAAGACAAAACCAAACTTGACCATGTGTTTTCAGCAACCGGCTGTTCAGCGAGCTGTTCATGTGAGGTCGGCTAGAAAGCTATCCGAATGTACAGGTTTTGTAGGTTCCAACCACTCATTTTGTTTGATCCCTTGTATGATTTGTATGTTTCATGCATTTAGATATACGCGCGTACATATCCATTCCATTGCCCCCTCTGACAAGCTTTCGGTTCCAGCTTGGTTGCGGCGAGGTGGGCGGAGATGCGATCCTGCAGTCCCGGGACGCGGCAGTTGCGGCAGCACAGGCGGCGGCCAAGTGCGGAATGCCACCCCGGCTGCAGGCGCGCTGTTTGCTTTTTCTTGGAGGTTCCCATCCATCCGGTTCCTTAATTAGCTCTTTAGTTGGTTTGGTGGACAAGTCCATTCAAAAAGACACAAAAAGGTAAACTGAACTTAGCTTTTTTGCTTTTTAGTTTGTTTTGTTGTAGACATGTCCATTTAACCCACTAAAAATTAAACTTTTAACAGGGCATCTGAGGACAGCAATGGTTGATCAATCAAAAAAAGCCAACGGGTCGAAGTCTGGCCCAAGCATTTGGTGGTGGCTTGGAGGTGAGTGGGCGGGATACGTTTGAAGGTGGCGGGAGGAACTGATCCCCAAACCACGATCGCCAGACCAACAGCTTGCCTTCTTCACCTCCTGCCTTTTTTCGGTTTTCCTTCAGACCAGCAACCAGTTGACGTTTTTGCAGGGGTTCAAGTCTGGCTCAGTTTGGGGGCTTGGCGGTTTGGAGGTTCGGGGGCACCTTCGAATTAAGTGTCAAGAGCAACCCAATTCACCCACCAAGTAAGATGAAAAGTGGCTCATCAATGCCACCCCTTGGTGTCTCCTTCAGCTTTTTTTCGGCGGGGGAGGGAGAGTTTTACTCTGAGATGGACTGGTTGGCGAGGGGTATCCTGAAGTTGGCCTGGGGATTTCCCCGGTGAATGCTGGTCAATCCGGTTTGACCATGCGGGTTGACAAATCGCCTAGTGGATCCTGCCAGGTGTCCTTTCGAGGTCTTGGTGCCACTGTGCTACCCCTGTACCACAGACTGATTTTGATTGGGTCCATTTGGGCAGTCAAAGTGATTTGGACCCCCAAAGTGACTGATTTCCTTAATTCGGAGTTTGCCTAGCTCTGAAAAAGGTGCCGAGCCTTATAGAGGCCGTTGTTAGAACCAGGTCCATCCGACCACCGGCGCCCTCAAGGTACAGCGTACGCCTCGCGCGCGCGTTTCGCGCGCGTTTTTCGGTTTCGCGAGGCGGAGATCTCCGCGGCGGAGGCGGTGGCGGTGGGGCGCCGGGCCAAGGTGCCGCTGACGCAGAAGGAGCAGCTGGAGGACCAGTCGACTCGACTCGGGTCCGACGCTCCGGGAAAATGCCGTCTCAACCATGGTTTGGGCGCCTGGATCCTAAAAAACAACACCAAAATTGAAAGTTGTTTGGTGTTTGTCCAGCCGAAATGATGGGGTAGGTTCCCTTTTTTTTACTTGGTTGTTTGAGGGCCCAGGTGGGCGATGGGCCACATGCCAGTCGCCTTTGTCGAAAAGCTGTTTCTCCTGCATTTCACCTGACAAGACACACACCTGATTCGGAAATTAGAATTTGGGCCCTCTTAAACCTTTGTTGCTTTCTTGTTTCCGTGTTTCCTTTGAAAACTCTGTTTGTTTTACATACATGGGCGTTTGCAAAAAAAGGAGTTGTTCATTTTGATGGCACCCTCTTTGGGTTGTTTCAAAAGGAAAGGAGAACCACCCATGTGCGGTACCGAGACACCCCATATATAGAATGAGGCCCTTGAACATGGCAACGGTTTCCGTTGTTTTCTGTCTGAAACCAGCAGGGGGTCGCCAATGTTAGGCAGGATGGCAGCAGCTTTTTGGCTCTATTGCAGACCCCTTTGATTCATTGAATCGGTGGATTGGACCATCCTGGGTGACCATCTAGCCATCATGCTGGGTGAAAGAAGAGGTGTATATATATATATATATATATATATATATTGATATACATATATATATATATATGTATGTGTGTGTGTAAATGTACTTGTCAGAATGTACACGTAACTGGATTTGTACACGTACATGGTGATGTTTTTGTCAGGTACCCCTCGATTGAATCACTGGCGATTTGAACCGAGCTGCACCGATTCGGCTCGGACAGGAGGCCAGCAAGGCGGCGCTGTCTGTGGCCGAGCACTGCGGCATGACCGCCGCTTGGTCCACGTCTGGCCTCATTTTATTTCCGGAGGGGGAGGAAACATGTGTATGTGTGTACGCACACACGCATATTATACATATGTATATATATATATATATGTATATATACCTCATGTATGTAGTTTGAAGAACCTTCCTTTTAGTTGGTTTCAAAAGGAAGCCACAGACAACCAAAGGAAAAGCATACAGTTTGTCCCGAATTTTGCGACAAAGCCATACCTTTGCCCCAACGGCAGGACCAGCTGTGTTGAGCGTTGACCAGCTCTAGGATTGAAGGAAACTACAAGGGGATGTGTCATTTCCTTTTTCTCCCCCCCCCCCCCCTCCCACCCAACAATACATACCGAGGACCACTCCAACCCCCCCTCCCAACCCCCCTCCCCTCTCAACCCCCTCCCAACCACCCCCCCCCCACTCCACCACCACAAAAAAGCAGCAAAGCAACACACCAACCCCCCTCCCGACCCCCCCCAAAAGAAAAAACGACTCACAAATGAAACAAAATAAACGAGCAGCCCCCAGCTTCGGCTCGTTTCCACGCCCCAGGCCTCGGGCAAAGTCGCGGTGGCCGCGGCCGCCGCGGCTTCCGCCGCCGCGGAGAGCGCCACGGCGGAGGAGCGGAGCGGCATCGCGCGGGCCCAGGCGCTGGAGGTGGCGAAGACGCTGGGCATGTCGGAGGAGCAGATGGAAGCGGCAGGCGATTCGGGTATGGGTTTGGGAATATATTTGATAGTATTTGGGTGTAAATTTGGGTGGGTTTGGGAATATATTTGATAGTTTTTGGGTTTTAATTTTCTGTGGGTTTGGGAGTATGTGGGTATTTTGGTTCAAGTTTGGTTCGCTTGGGTATGGTTTGGATTCGTTGTGTTTGGCAGTCAGGGCAAGGGACAGTTTTGGATTGTGGATGGGGGAATGTGAAGCTTCAGTGCCATGGCTTGCGACCGGGAAAATGCAGCCGTACTGTGGATGGACGGAATCCTGCACCAGTTTGAAGATGAGTGTTCGTTGGTATTTGCAGGGGAATAATCATTCCAGGGCTTCTTAGGTGGTGCATCCACAATAGGGTGCATATCCAGTCGCCTATGGCTCAAATTGGCCAATGTGAGCCACTCCAATGACCCCCAAAGAAGAAGTTCTTAAGTCCTGGCTGTGCCTTGCAGGGAAATCATGGATCTCGCAGGGGTTCTGGTGTGCGCAGACGTGTGTCTTTATCGCGGGTTTCGGTCAGAGACGAGACGGTTGGATGCTGCTGCTTCATCGAATGTGATGCTGAGGCCTCGGAATATGAAAACAGTTGGGGACCGCAGATATAAGAACTCCCGCCTGTCGCCCGCCAAATTCGGACCAGTTGACATGAGTCTTTTCTGGGGGCAAGGATCCGGGGTCCAGTTCCATCACTTGATTTGGGCATGAGTGAGCTGAGAAAAGTTCCTTAAGTAAGTCGAACAAGTCAAGCCTATCATGGTTGACTCACTCCAAGGAGAAACCAACCCTCCCCCAGGACAATGCCAAGTTTGCGGCCAATGAGCCCGAACCGACGGTTCAGTCATGTCGACCAAACATGTGTGTGTGTGTGGTTTGTTTGTTTGTTTGTTTGTTTGTTTGTTTGTTTGTTTGCTTGCTTGTTTGTTTGTTTGTTTGTTTGTTTGTTTGCTGTTTGAGCAGGGTGTCCTGCATTTCTCTTTTAGGAACTTCCCAGACTGGCGACCGTCTCAAGGCAAAGCACCAGCCAACTGCAACGTTTGATTTGGGGAATTGAAGTACCTTAATTATTATGTTGTAGTTGTGTTGTTTGTTATGCTTGTTGTGTCGGCTTTGCTTTGCATTTCTTTGCGAGGTATCCTTTGGCGTTACCGGCGCACTCGGTTGCGAAGTCGTAGGCGCTGCGGCCGCTGCCGCCGCCAATGTCGCCGGCGCCACTCCCAGCGGCTCGGCTCCGAAGCGACACCCCATGGGCGAAGACTGTCTTGTAGCCGTTGGTCTTATTCTGTCAGATTGATCGACCCTATGTCTAACCATTGGGTGGTCGGATCTGAAGCAGTAAGTCCTTTTTTCTCTTTGTGAGGGTGATCCGTCACGCCTCCAAACGTCCAAACGTCCAAAGCATCCTCCATGCGTGAATCGTTGACATGGCATCACGTGTGCGTGGCATCACCCTGCAGGCAAACATTGACATGACATCGTGTGTTCTATATTAGCATGTTTAGCATCTGATGTTTGTTGGATCTTGGCCCGTTTTTTGGCGGCCGCATTCCTGTAAATGTTTGGATATCTTGTGCAGGGGGGTTAGACCATGTTTTCACATCCTGAGCCTCCTGTAATTAGCATCCTGCTATGCTTAGCAGTGACGCCCTCTCTTTGCGGCTTGAAAGGGATCCAAAGGAAAACCACACGACGCCCATTTGGAGACAACCACTCCTATCTCTTTTTGCATTCGTGGAACCGGGAAGGGCCCAGCATCACGAGTTTGCCGAGTACTCTTGGCACCAGACGCATCCGAGCTGCGTTGTTTGTGTTACCCGGTACATGTGCCAAGAAGGTGGGTGGACACTATTCTTGCAACATGTGTGTGTGTGTGTGTCTCCAGTTTACAGAAGGGTTTAAGACTCGCGGAAGTTTTGCGGAAGGCATGTTTAAACAACACGAGTTTACCGCAGTTGCATACATCAATGTGGGTGTATCTGTTTGTTAACCCTTGGTTTTGGTTCTTGGGAAACAACAAGAGAAGTCAGAATTTTAGGGTACCCTAAGACAGACGAGCTGCCCATGTGCAGGATTTGGTTGTCTTTGCCAAGACGAGGCAACACCCAGTGTTTAGTTGTTTGCAGCTGGATTTCCGCAGGTTCGCGGAAGCCGAGCCCAAGCCAATAGCCTTTGGCCAAGGCAAGCTTAGGGCCTCGCATCTTTTGAAGGTTTCAGCAACAAAATGGCAGTGGTGGCCAAAACTAATGCAATCCCATTTTGGTTGGGATTGGTGAATTCACCACCCATTTTGGAACCTACTTTAGTGGTTGGATTGGTTGATGTTCACTGGGGGTACGATTTGGGATTTTGACCCATGGCCAAATCAGACCGCTGCGCCACTGCTCAAAATCAACTGCACTGTGGCCGAAGCAAAAGCAGCGAAACCATGCCCGTGTAAGCAGCAAAGTAAGAAAAACAAAACAGAGCTGATTTGGCGTCCTTGGGCTTTAGCACTCCCGTACTGATGGACATGCGTCAAAACTGGGCAACTCCTGCTACATTGACATAATTTGAAAAGGAGACCAGCACGCAATGTTTGTCGTTGTGATTGCTTTGACACGCCACCATGAAATATGTCGCAGCTCGAACCGAGGAAACAGCGGGTATCCGGATGCTCAATAGCCACGCGTTCTTTGGCCAGCTTTTCCATGGGTCCTGAGCTGCCCTTTAGGGATGTGCAGAGGGGACATATGGGTGTGTCGTTTTTTAGTGGACCCCCCAAATTGGTGGTTCCCTGTTGATTTTCCCTTCAAACCACGAAAAAGGGTACCCTCAAAACAAGAGACACCCATATCAAGAGCTCCGTGTTCGAGACTCCCATGGCGAAGAACGCAACTGGGGGTCTCAGTTAACGAGTAGGCTTGTGCCAAGCGCAGGCCTGACGCCCGTGCACAATTTTCGCACCAAAGATGAAGGGCGAAGAAAAAGGCGTCCCGGGATCAAGCCCACTTTGGCGGCATACCTGGACCAACCAAGGGCACTTTTTTTGCGACTGTCTGCAAAAATCCGTGAATTTCCCTGAAATCCATACATTTGAGCAAAAACTGTTCTTTCCTTGCAGGCTCAACGCAGGAGACAGGAACATTCAACTACTTTTTCTACAAGAATCTCACGTTCAGCTCCGGCCCTGGCACTGGAGACTGTCATGCTCATGGGCCAAGCGAAACCATTTGAAGGTGTGCGATTCACCAGTGACGAAACGTGCGCATTTCCCCAAGCAAATGTTCCGCTGATTTCCGTACTTTCTCCGCATATTTCCGTACTTTTCCCGCCGATTTCCGTGCATTTCCCGCCGATTTCCGTGCATTTCCGGTTTCTGCATTTTGGCTGAGAAAGCTGCACACTCGCAAAAGCGGCAAGGAAGCTGTCACACGTTGCCCCACAGCAATAGAAGACGAATGACCTGAAACGGAATTAAGTATGACGGGCCATGTAAATTGCAAACTATGTTCGCGTGCATCCATGTGCACCACAAACGCTCACAGCCGGCTAAAAGCGATTTCCGTCAAATTTCCTCAAAAGTGTACATTGACACTTTTTTCTGCATGTACGGAAATTTCAGTACTTTTGGAGGGTTCAGGTATAGGTATGGGCCAAAATAAAGCTACCAGGGAACCGCATAGTCCATGTTTCGATTTACCAGGGCAAGCCATTTTGGGTACATATTTTTGACCCACAGCCATATGAGGGAAGGATCCCAACAGTCTAATGTGTTTGACGGCGATGACAGCTTTGACTGCATCGCCTTCTGGAATCCACCCCAACTCCCCTGTTGGTTATAGTGGCACCTGACACAGGGCCCACAAAAAGAATCATCTTCCAGGCACCCTCCCGGTACTATGTTCCTGGGCGGAAGGGTACTGTAGTCGGCTTCTCTTCCCAGAGTTGGCCGGATCGAAGTCCAGCTTCGCTACACCTGTCAAGTACCCGTTGGAAGCCTTCTCCCGTTTCAAAGGGAGTCCAACTGCGCTTTCAACCGTAGTTTCAAGAGAAAAAGCCTGGAGGTAAGTGCCTGGACTGAGCTGGTACTTTACAAGTTATGAATAACTTGCTTGCTTTGTTCAGGCCTGGAGTTTGGGGCTTGCAGCTTCTTGGCTCATAGGAGTCAAGCAAGAGCAATGACATTCAGTGATTGAACTACCAAACTCAGCCCGTCGCAGAAGCGTCCCAGAACCACCAAAGTCAGGCCGTTGAACTGTGGCATCAGCCAGAGAAATGGACAGCGTGTGATCGCAAGTCTCTTTCCAATGCCATGCTCCTGAAGAAGCGCAGGGTGACGCCGCGGGAGAGATCGCCCTCTCCGCAGCCGCTGATTCTGATTGAAGATGACGCGGAAGATGCGACGCAGCCGTTGTTCTTTCAGCCAGCTCAAAACACCGGCTATTTGCCGCCCGTCTTGAGCAGACCCAACGCAGTGCCTGGGCAGACCCCAGTGACAGCAGCTCCGGCAGCAACTCCGGCACCTCAGGCAGAGGCATCTCCGACAGAGGCGCCGCAGCAAGCAGCTGCACCGCTGACAGAGAACAAGCCGCAGTCAAAGCCGCCGCAGAGGGCAAAACGCCCTCCGCAGCCGGCCAGACGGATTCTGCAGACGGCCAAACCGTCCAAGCAAGCGGCTAAGACCCCTCAGACGGCGAAACAGCCGTCGGCAAAGCCGCCTGAGAGTGTGCAAGCACCTCAGTCGACACAGGCGCCTCAGTCAGCACAGGCGCCTCAGACCACACAGGCGCCTCAGTCAATACAGGCGCCTCAGACAACGCAGGCGCCTCAGACAATGCAGGCGCCTGAAACAACAGATGCGCAGCACACACCAACGCCTCAAGTTCAAGAAAGACCTCAGGGATCAGATGCGCAAGTCACAGGCAAAGCATCGGACGCAGGACGCCTATCGCATGCCGGAAAGAAACATATTCCAGATGTTGAGTGGATCGAAGCTCGTTTGCTTGGGAGAACAGAAAGAACGTGACCTTTGAACGCCCACGATGCTGGCAGGACAAGAGCCAAACCGAGCGCCACCTGTGCAGCAAGCTGTTCCTGGGTTCGGAACCAGCGCCAGCGCGAAGATGAATGAGCCGCTCAGCCGCAGTTCATGCCCCTGAAATGCCTCGCCGAAGCTTCAAAGTGGTTGTGGCTGTTAGTTGATAAAATGCCATGGATGCGCACCTTTGCCAAAGTCAGCGTTCCTTGCAAGACTTGGGAGTGTTCTTTTTTAGCTGGTGCAGAATTGCAGCGGGGTAACTTAGTGTTTACTTCAGCAAGAGGGCGTTAGGCACATGGCAGGAGGTTCCAATGTGAGGCTACCCTGAAGGGGAGCCAGGGCCCTACGAGAAATTTTGTTTAAGCAACCACTTGCTGGTCGACTTGAAAAGGAACAAGGAGGTTGTTTAGCCAAAAGTAGGCGGGTCTTTTTTAACGATTGGGCCTCCCCACAAGTAGTGGGTGTTCCTCGAGTTTCCCTTGAAAACCAACAAGAGTAACAACTACTAAGTTTTTAGGTTCCGAATTAGTGGAGTTTCTCAAAAATGGTGGGTGCTAAGCCACCCAAGTGGTTGACACATGAACCAAGGTTGCCAAAGCCATTTGCACATGCCGTGGCAACCACCCGTGAGCGAAATAACGCTCCGATTTGGGGACGGGACGTCAACCCAAAGCATTTGCGCCAGGCGAAAGTGAACAAACAACAGCACCCTGCTTTTTGAAGGGCCAAAGAAACAACATGAGGGGTCCCCAGTTGCAGGAACGTCTTGTGTCAACTCTGCCAACGTAAGCCAGGCGAAGCGTTGGGTGTTTTGTCCACAACCCAGTGGCTTTCAAAGTAAGCGAGCACAACCAGCAGGCACCGTTTCAGATTGCCCATGTTGCTGTTGAGTGGACCTTCTTTTCTTACAGTCATTGAGATATAGCAATTGGAGGGGTTTCTTGCAGGCTTGCTATGAATGGTGGCTAAAGGCAAGCCCGAAGACACCAAAAGAAAGTCCACCTTTTCCGCTGCGCTCTGTTTCCCCTTTGAGGACTTTTCAGCTTTGGCCTGCACTGGTTCAAGCATGCACGGTACACCCCCCCCCGTATTTCGGAGGTCGACCAAAGGCTGCATCTAGGTTCCTATTCAATTCCATACCCCACGATGCCTTTTGTTTCCGTGATGTTTGTGTTTGCGAGAAACCACCGCCTAGAACAAACCTATTCAATTCCATACCCCACGGCGCCTTTTGTTTCCGTGATGTTTGTGTTTGCGAGAAACCACCGCCCATTTTCGGGGTGCCCAGTTTTGGAGATGGACACATGAATATGAGATAAATACACTACGTGCTTAATCTCTGCGAGGCCTTTTGGAGACCACTGTACAGGGTCCCTTACAGGAACCATGATCATGAACCACAGGAGTTGAACATGACCCATGCCACCCCCCTATGCAACAAATCAAAGTCAAGCAAAAAACGGATTGGGGTTGGAGCAAGAGGGCCCTTCGCAAATTGGTTGGAAGCCTGGGCTGCACAGCATCCCTTTCCAGCGTTCTTCTGCTCGCAGGCTGCTGTCCTTGGCGGAGCCGCTCAGCTCCAGCGAGGGGCCCGCCTGGCGCAACAGGAGCCGGGCAAGGCTGATCTCCTTGGAACTCCAGGACCGGGGGATCGGTCCTTTCTGCGGCTGCTGCTGCGGCTGCTGTTGCTCCTGTTGTGGTTGTCGTTGTTGTCGTTGTTGTTGTCGCTGTTGTCGTCGTCGATTTCGTTGTGTTTTATACATATATATATATATATATATGTTTCTGTGTGGTTTGTGGTTGTTTTTGTTTGCCTGTCATGGTGTTTCTTCACTCGCTTGTCTCTTTCTCTTAGGTTTCGGCGTTCCGTTGCTGCGAGGACTTCAAGTCCTTCCAAAGGCGCAGCTTTCGCCTGGACGGGCAATCCCTGTTCTGCCTGGTGGGCGGAAACTCCAGTGGCAAGTGCAAGCCTCAGGATGGAAAAGTCCGGAAGCTTCGCCACTTCGGCTTTCGCACGACCTTGGCCTTGGCGCATGTTGCCAAGGGATGTTAGGACTTCAACTTTTTGCCAACTAATGGAAAACTAAAAGTTGAAAACTTTTAGCAGGGGAGCAGAAAGCAACCGAGTTTGTGTAACACATCCGATGGTTTTGGGATTCTTTTGAACCAAGTTCTTCCAAAGCACCCATAGAGTGGATGGACAAAATCCTGCACTAGCTGGTAGGTGGTTTGATTTAAAATTACTAGGGGGTCATCCATCCAACTGGTGCAAAGCTTTGTCCATCGATAAAGAATGATGATAGCGCTGTGATTCCTCAAAGATAAGTTCTCCCAGGCTGGCATTCTCCTGACATCTCAACGTTTCAGCCTGAGGTGAAAGACCAACAACAGCTATTGCTTGATGCACGTGCTTCAAAGGTAAAACAAGTTGGAACCATGGTGGGACTATATTTTTTAGACATACGACGGTGAACCTTGTCAAGCACATAAGTAGCTAATGTTTAAACATGGCCACGTGTCATTCATGATAATTGTTAATTAAAGTCACAACAATACACACTTGATCCTGTGTCTGCTTACGGGTAGTAAATAACACACACCACACTTGCAAAGGTCCCTTTTCATAGGTTTGAAGCCCACCTTGATCCTCCTTGACGATCCCATACACTGAATCGACTTAGATTATGCGTCGGCTTTAAATTCGGCTGGGCGCAGCATCTCTGTGGTTCAATTGAGCAGCCCCCCTTGGTGGGACAAGTGGGGAGCCAGCTTAACTTGGCTCAAGTTTTCCAGCTTCTTTAAAAAACAAAAACTTATCATTGTTTTATTTTAAAAAAAGGGTTCCCCGGTCGAACTGAATGGAAAAAGCTCCCCGCTCCCCGCTCCGGCCAGACCTCCGAGGTCCGCGGTGCTGGACGCCCTGCGCTTTGTGCTGCAGCGGCGCTGCGACCGAAGTCTGCGGAGCTACATCCGGCGGGGGAAGCCCATGCCCAAAGCGGCAAGGGTCACCGCCACCTTCGCCAGGGACGAAGGAGACGGAGAGACGGGGAGACGGGGAGACGGGGGGAGTTGGGAGTTGGGAGTTCAAGCAGGATATATATATTTTTTTGGGGGGGGTAAGGATAGAGTATAGTAATTAATGTTGACCCCATATTAGTCAACACCAGTTTACTTATAGGGGGTATGCCCCTCCAAAAGTGTTGATTCGTTACATATATATATTGTAGTATTGTACAGTATTGTATGGTGGGGGGGACACCGAGGCTTACCAAAAAAGAGTGCTGAAATACTAGGGTACT